TGTAAACTGTTATGTTATATCGTATTACATAAGTTGAAACTGATGAGCTTCATTCCTTATAATTTAATTTCAGTGTAGACAATGAGTAAATATTTTCTCAAAGAAAAGGCTTTAAGGACGCTCTAAACACTGCACATTAAAGAGCTCTACTTATTGGGTTTTATTGGGTAACTTTATGCAGTTAGAGTGATCTACCCTTAGCTTAAGATTAAAGTAGTTGTTATTTACCGTTAATTTCATAATTTATGAGATAAAAAGTCTTAATATGCATATTTTTCTCTGAGTCTAAAAAATAGTTTCTGTTAGTGTTTAGAACTTCCTTGAATTAAGAATATTTAAAAAGTAACGTAAACCGGAGTAATACCTTTTTGACCTAAATCATAGTGATGTAGGCAAGTTATGTTAAACAAAATTGGTTAAATATTTAACCCAATCAAATTACTAGTACATGTTACAACTGAAATTGAATTATTTTGTTTCAATTCAAAATAATGTCTATCTCTTACATTGCACGCAATCATTTAAAAAACAAGAAAGAATATAACTAGTTCTTAGAAATATACACTAGACCAAATTGCTGAGCCCCACCTAATAGAATTAATATTTTACTTTTAAAATCTTTTTTATGATGTATTTGATATATACCAGTAGATATGTCACTTTAACAAAAAATGAGGTATATTAATGTCAAACCATATAAATAACTACTAACAATGTTTACTAAAGTAAGATCAATTCATAGAAAAATAAGATATGTTCCATTTTTGAAGAAAAATATTCATTTGTTTCTTTTTATTTGTGTTTTTACATTTGAACTAATTAGAAACTCAGAAAATAAGTTACACCGTATGAGGCGTTTGGCCCAAGAAGAACTTGCTAATGCAGACAGTATCTTGTCTGAAGGTGCACTGCGAGAAATGTGTTTAGAACTAAACACTTTTTCGTGTGTTTAGAAATATTATACATTTATTGCATGATAGTGAGGGAAATATGAAGACTTATTCAGCCAAGAAAATCATATTCCCCGAGGGCTTCGCCCGAGGGGAATATGATATTTCTTGGCTGAATAAGTCTTCATGTTTCCCGAACATTCATGCAATGAATTGTTTATTATACCGAAACAAGTAAAGCCTTTGAAATAAACTTAAACTTTCAAATTCGGCACCGCTTTCAAATTCACTTTCATTGTTAACGTAAAGTTACTATAAAACCCTTTGGTCATCACATTGTCATCAGTTTTGTGACGTCAAACAGGCTATTGTGACGTCTACTACTCTCGGGAGTTTACGTTCAACGAACGAGAACTATATTGCGGGAAAATTCACTAGGTTTCCGAAGAGGTGGAATATGATGAAAAGCGTGCCGACGACGGGAAATATGAAGTTTTACGGCCCGATCACGTGATAACCTAGAACCAATCAGATAACGCGTTGTGTAGAATATTTATAATGAGGTATAATAATACATGTTTAGGAATTAAACATATAAAGAGGAAGGTGACAAAAAGTGCTAAGAAAAGTGTTTGAATTTAAACACCTCTTCTTTATTGTGTGATTAGAAATTAGACATATCTATATTTCACATAATAAAACAAGTGTGGCTTAAAAAAAAATATAGACATTTGTAAATTTTGTCACAAAGTGCATATTACTTGATACACATAATATTATCATGATTATTGTCAAAAATGTCAAAATATTAACCGATATAAATTATTCATCATAAGACCTCTGATTGTTTAGATATGTACATGTAGATACTTTACACCTGTGTGATGTTTTACACAAATTTAATATTTTGATCTGTATAAGTTCATTCAGCATGACATACATTATATCTATAACGCAGAGATGAGCAACAGAAACAAAAAAAAAATAGCAATTTTATATCAACACTTTCTTTAATCTTTGTAATAATGCTTTATTAAAGATATTTCAATTAAAATTATCAAATATTTATTTGATATAATAATTTTTATATGATTTATTACAGTTTCAATCGGTTGCAGAGTGTTCCATATGTCAGTCATCAAAATGTCAAACTTGATTAACTTTCACCAATCCTACAGCATTACATAGCACCACATGATATAATATCCCATCAGTAACTGCCGAAAAGTAATCCATTTTAAATGCACAAGGATAATCACAAATTGATGATTTTGGGTACATATATTCAAATCCGTCGAGCATTGTCGAATTAGAGGTAATCCAATACACTCAATAAATATACATTTCTTAGTGTTGATCATGGAACAACAATTTGAAGAAGGTACTTTGATACATGCATGCTTTGAGTTCAATCCGGACTACACACATAACCTGTAAGAAAGAAGACAGATTTAAGGTGGCTCATTACATCCACAGTTTATTTTAGATTTCAATACAGCACCACTTAAAAATATCCAGTTTGAAGATGACATCTTTTTTTCAAGTTGCATTGAAACTATACTAACTTAAATTAAAACAGTTATTTCTAATGAAGTTCAATATACACTCTTCTCCTTCAATTCTATAAACACATAATAAACGACCTCAAAGCACTGTTTACGTTACTCATCGTGGTTTAATAATGCAAATCTTAATAAAGCGAAAATATACCTTTAATATATTGTAGTAAAAAGATGCCTTTCAAATGATTTTCAATATTTCTTCATGGTTATCCGTTGGGTTGTCAGTTTCTCTCCTTGATACGTCCCTTAAACCTTTTGTGATTTTCTTTGTTTCAATCGCCGCTCAAATTAACATATTTTGTGTCATTTCCGGGAAGATTTTACTGCAGAACGTGTTTAATTTCTAAACACGTTTAGATATAAAACATGTTTAGACATAAGTGTTTAGTTGTTAAACATATTTCTATACTTGTTTAGATCTAAACACGTCATGGAAGTGTTTAAATCCTAAACACAGTTATTACAGTGTGGAGAGGGTCCTTTAGAGAAGTCTGTAAAAAATGAAAACATTAAGATGTGTATGATTTTCACTCTTGAAAATCTGTTGTAAATAGATTATCAAACATAAAAAAAATGTTTACTACAAAAAGCCACGACTTTAAGTTAGTAATATACCATAAGTTGAAAATTGTTTTAAAAAAACAGTCAACCGAAATGTGAATGGATTTGCTATGGACATTAAGGCAACGGATGATTACTAGGCTACATGAGAATCACCTGGCAACCTCACAAACCACCTATATTGATCAAGAATTTTATATCTGGGCAAAAATGGTACGCTGTGAGCAGCTGGAAATTGCTTTTCAAACAAGAGGGTCATTGAAGGGTCTTTTCATGATACCAATGCATTTGTCAATCCCACTGTTTTGGATATAATGGCATATTATATACACTAGTACAGATTTGGCAAATGTCCAATTCACAAATAAAAATTAACTTGTGGTGCGTTAGCAATTTTGTCTAGTGTATATCGTAAATATCGTTGGTGGTTTATTATTTGCGTTCATGAAGAAAATTCCTCCTATTAGGGCATGACTTACCTTTTCGAGGAGAAAAATAACTTGAATCAAGATAATATCATTAAAATGGTCTCCTCCATCGTACCTTAATTCGTAATCCTTATGAAAACAAACGTTTTAAGAGTATGTGAATAATTTTTTCATAATGTGAAACGTATAGTAGCTCCATCTGTTTTGCATCCAAATGTATATCATAATTATAATGAAATAGCGAGGGAGATTTAATTCTGTAATCATGTCCATATATGAACATCGTCTGCATATGTGAAATCTTAAAATTACATATCTATATTAAGATAGATAATATCTGAAAAACAGAAAACGTTAAAAGCATTGAAAAGCATTAATATAGATATACTGTAGAAGTACTTTTTTAGATTTGGTATTAATTTAAGCTATGTACTCGGTCACAAATTTTCCAAGGAAATTTGTCCAAGCGTACTTAATATCAATCAAATGCATATAGTGACAGTCAATGAAATCTGCGTAATTTTCTACACGCGAATACAACAGAAATTGAGATTCTGCGGAATTATGACCCAGTGGAAAAAAGTACGTCTACATTATGTAATGTTAAAATATCAATGTCAAACTTTTAATATGAAGACCTTAAAATGCAAGTCAACTTAAGCATAGCTTTTTTTTTCAAATCAGAGTCGCTGGTCTCAAATGTAGAGGAAAACACCCAAGAAATACAGAAACTGAAACGTAAGTCATCAGTTGCAAACTGAATACAGATTATCATTAAATTCTGAGAAGTTTTTTTTTAACATTTAATCGCCTTTATCAATCTTTTTGTCTTTAATAATTATTGTTTGTTGCACGTACGTAGTGTTTTTGAGTTTATAAATTATAAACAATATTTTCCTCTGTTTACTTTTAACAGATAAAGTAGAAAACACGGGGTTTGAGAATTTTGGTAAGTTTAGCTTTCATAATACTGCTTTTATTCATTTTTTAAAAATAATCAACAAAGTAATAATTTATTGTTATGGTTGATAAATTACTCGTTTCAAATTTCCAAATAATATAAGCAAAATAGAGCTATATAACTTACATTTAATATCAATTCCTCGAAAAATTTAACTGGTTAACAATAATTAAATTATTAAAATTTCATCTTAAACTTACTCTCATCTGCAAACATTTCCATCACTGTAACAATGTTTCTATCTACTTTCCAGTTTCTTATTAAATTTCCACAGTCTTTGACTATCGTCCTTCTCTTAAAAAAAATGTTATTTGTGAATTATGTATGGCATCCATATCGCCATGATGATTCGTTTATATTTAATCCAAAATTCACGGCATTGACAAGGTCTTCATGCATGTATAGTTGCTGATTTGTAAATCTTTCTTTTTTTTACATTACATTAATCTCTGATAACAAAAAGTGAGCGTTTCACTGAAAGATTGTTCATTTGAATTTATTTAAACATCTCCTGTTACTCAACATTCTGTTTCTTAGTGAGAATACAACTGTAGCACAAGAAACAATAGCTTTGTCTTATCTTGTTTCCTTTTCAGATATGCAAATCAGAGTAAAGATTGGTAAGACCTTATACCTGATATATCCTTGTTATAAATAAACTTAGAAGTCTAAAAATTTGCCAAATTTAGGCAGATGTTTATTTGATGTTTTGATTTCAAGCCAATTTGAAGATATTTCTGGATTTTTAGATACAACTAGAGCTGCTTTAGAAAATCAAGAACTAAGAATAAGGGATGTATTTGTTTTCACACGTGCAATCAAAAGAGTATTTGAACTTCTAGAGTCAAATAGGTATGTCCTTATCAAGGGTAACCCGGGATCCGGAAAAACCACGATTGCCATGCACGTCTTATCAGAGTTACAGGAGAAAGGGATGATACCTCTTCAAGTGTTCACAGTTGAAGAATTGTATGGATCCGTGTCACAATCTTCAAACGTCGCTTTATTTTTAGATAATTTATTCGGGGAGTTCTCAGTTTCAAATGAGGTTGACAACTTTAAAGCAAAGTTACATTTAATAAAAGCAATGTGGAATTATGATAATTGTAAGGGAAACGTTTTAATTATAACAATCAGAAATGATATTCACAAAGAAGCAGTCGATAGAATAAGTGAAGAACTATTTTTAAACAATTCTTCAGTTGACATATCTAACGGGAATTTTCAAATGAAAAGTTCAGAAATATTAGATATGTTTACAAAGTATGGTCTGGAAAAATTGATATTATCAAATACAATGCTGGATGTTGTTAAACTAAGAAATTCACTCGGAATCCCCCAATGTTGCAGCCTATTGAAAAATAATCCATTATTTTCTAAAAACGCTCAAGCTTTCTTGAAGGATCCAATTCTGAGCTTGGAGAATTATATAAAACAAAGGTTGGATAGAAAAGAAAGGAAAATGGCAGTTTTAGTCTATATTCTTCTTTGTGGAGGGAGTGTAGAAGAAAGCGTACTGGAAACACCTTTACGAGACATGACGAGAAAAGAAGTAGCAATGAGAATAATAGGAGTCACAGATTCAAATTTAAGGAACTTTCAAAGTTCTATTTTTCATTTCCATGATTTTTTGATGGTTTATGACAATATTGAAAGAAAATATAAATTTAGTCATAGCTCAGTACAAGAGAGTTTATTTAAATGTCTCGTCAATTATTACCCACAGGAAATTATCAAGAGTTGTGATTTTACCCTTCTAGAAAGGTTAACTACTTGTAAGAAACTGGCGTGGAATTCTGTAGTAATTGTCGAAGATATTTTTCAAGACTTAATTGACCGATTGCTAGAAGTCCTGCAGGAAAGATCAGTTACTGCATTTCAAACAATTTCCCGTCTTCACATATGGGAAGACGAGAAGTTTGTATGTAAATGCAAAAATAATCAAAGTGTGTTGAATGGTATAAAAGAAAATACTGATAGTCGTGGGCAATCAATGTTAGTTCATTTTTGTGTATCTGGTAACATTAGGTGGGTTAAGTATCTCTTGTTTGTAGCTTCAGAAGAACAAAGATATGTGTCCTTAAATGAAGCATGTGCACACAACCAGGGGGAGATTGTTGACTTGCTAATAAAAACTAATGTTAGGTACAACTTAAAAACTTGTTTTTTCGCTGTGCAAAGTGGAAATTTAGATTTGCTTTATCGCTTCACTGATAATGTAGACCTTACAGAGAAAACTTTATCAAATCAATGGAATAATATACAATGCGGTCTTCTACATGAGATTTGCTTTTTGGGACAGAATCACCTCATTGAGCCAGTTCTAGCACGCTACCCACAACTAATTGATGTCCGAGACAATGAAGGTGGAAACGCTCTGCATTTCGTTGCGTATGCAGGAGACGAAACAATATTTAAAAAGTTAGTTCAAAGTGGTTGTGAGCTATATAGAACAAGTCATACTGGTTCAACTGTTCTCAGCTATGCTTGTCAAAACGGAAAACTAAACATGGTCAGGTATATCTGTGATAAGTATCCAGATTTACTTTCACCAGATTATAATGACAACAAAGGTAGGTCACCATTACACTGGTCAGCTCAATCAGGAAACATAGAATTGTATGAATACTTGAAGGTGTAAAGCAAACATTTCCTGACGATCAAAGTACACCATTACATGAAGCTTGTAAGTTTGGGAGACTAAATATGTGTAAGCACTTGGTAAAAACTTATCCCCATTTACAAGATGACAAAAACAATGATGGAAAGAATGCCTTACATGCTGCAGCCTTTGGAGGTAACATTGATTTACTCAATTTTCTGTTGGAGAAAGGTTTTGATGTCAAAACCAAAAGAAATGATGGGGGTACGGTGCTTCACTATTCCTGTATGAACGAAAAACTAGAGATGTGTAAGTACTTGCTCAATACTTATCCTCATTTACTAGATGTCAAAGACAATAATGGAGGAAATGCCTTACATCATGCAGCCTTGGGAGGTAACATTGATTTACTCAATTTTCTGTTGGAGAAAGGTTTTGATATCGAAACCAAAAGAAATGATGGGAAAAGTGTGCTTCACCAGTGCTGTATGAACGGAAAACTAGAGATGTGTAAGTACTTGGTCAATACTTATCCTCATTTACTGGATGTCAAAGACAATAATGGAGAGAATATCTTACATGATGCAGCCTGGGGAGGTAACATTGATTTACTCAATTTTCTGTTCGAGAAAGGTTTAGATGTCAAACCCAAAAGAAATGATGGGAAAACTGTGCTTCACCAGTGCTGTATGAACGGAAAACTAGAGATGTGTAAGTACTTGGTCAATACTTATCCTCCTTTAATAGATGTCAAAGACAATATTGGAGGAAATGCCTTACACTCTGCAGCCTGGGGAGGTAACATTGATTTACTCAATTTTCTGTTGGAGAAAGGTTTTGATGTCAAAACCAAAAGAAATGATGGGAAAACTGTGCTTCACTATTCCTGTATGAACGGAAAACTAGAGATGTGTAAGTACTTGCTCAATACTTATCCTCATTTCCTAGATGTCAAAGACAATAATGGAGGAAATGCCTTACATGATGCAGCCTTGGGAGGTAACATTGATTTATTCATTTTTTTGCTGGAGAAAGGTTTTGATGTCAAAACCAAAACAAATAATGGGAAAACTGTGCTTCACCAGTGCTGTATGAACGGAAAACAAGAGATGTGTAAGTACTTGGTCAATACTTATCCTCATTTACTTAATCTAAAAGACAATATTGGAGGAAATGCCTTACATCATGCAGCGTGGGGAGGTAACATTGATTTACTCAATTTTCTGTTGGAGAAAGGTTTTGATGTCAAAACCAAAAGAAATGATGGGGGTACGGTGCTTCATCTATGCTGTATGAGCGGAAATCTAGAGATGTGTAAGTACTTGGCAATACTTATCCTCATTTACTAGATGTCAAGGACAATAATGGAGGAAATGCCTTACATAATGCGGCCTGGGGAGGTAACATTGATTTACTCAATTTTCTGTTGGAGAAAGGTTTTGATGTCAAAACAAAAAGAAATGATGGGAAAACTGCGTTTCACTATTCCTGTATGAACGGAGAACTAGAGATGTGTAAGTACTTGGTCAATACTTATCCTCATTTACTAGATGTCAAAGACAATAATGGAGGAAATGCCTTACATGATGCAGCCTGGGGAGGTAACATTGATTTACTCAATTTTCTGTTGGAGAAAGGTTTTGATGTCAAAACCAAAAGAAACGATGGGGGTACTGTGCTTCACCAGTGCTGTATGAACGGAAAACTAGAGATGTGTAAGTACTTGGTCAATACTTATCCTCATTTAGTTGATGTCAAAGACAATGATGGAGAGAATGCCTTACATGCTGCAGCCTGGGGAGGTAACATTGATTTACTCAATTTTCTGTTGGAGAAAGGCTTTGATATCGAAACCAAAAGAAATGATGGGAAAACTGTGCTTCACCAGTGCTGTATGAACGGAAAACTAGAGATGTGTAAGTACTTGGTCAATACTTATCCTCATTTACTAAATCTCAAAGACAATATTGGAGGAAATGCCTTACATGCTGCAGCCTTGGGAGGTAACATTGATTTACTCAATTTTCTGTTGGAGAAAGGTTTTGATGTCAAAACCAAAAGAAATGATGGGAAAACTGTGCTTCACTATTCCTGTATGAACGGAAAACTAGAGATGTGTAAGTACTTGCTCAATACCTATCCTCATTTCCTAGATGTCAAAGACAATAATGGAGGAAATGCCTTACATGATGCAGCCTTGGGAGGTAACATTGATTTACTCAATTTTCTGTTGGAGAAAGGTTTTGATGTCAAAACCAAAAGTAATGATGGGAAAACTGTGCTTCACCAATGCTGTATGAACCAAGAACAAGAGATGTGTAAGTACTTGGTCAATACTTATCCTCATTTACTTAATCTCAAAGACAATAATGGAGGAAATGCCTTACATGATGCAGCCTGGGGAGGTAACATTGATTTACTCAATTTTCTGTTGGAGAAAGGTTTTGATGTCAAAACCAAAAGAAATGATGGGGGTACGGTGCTTCATCTATGCTGTATGAGCGGAAATCTAGAGATGTGTAAGTACTTGGCGAATACTTATCCTCATTTACTAGATGTCAAGGACAATAATGGAGGAAATGCCTTACATAATGCGGCCTGGGGAGGTAACATTGATTTACTCAATTTTCTGTTGGAGAAAGGTTTTGATGTCAAAACAAAAAGAAATGATGGGAAAACTGCGTTTCACTATTCCTGTATGAACGGAGAACTAGAGATGTGTAAGTACTTGGTCAATACTTATCCTCATTTACTAGATGTCAAAGACAATAATGGAGAAAATGCCTTACATAATGCAGCTTGGGGAGGTAACATTGATTTACTCAATTTTCTGTTGGAGAAAGGTTTTGATGTCAAAACCAAAAGAAATGATGGGAAAACTGTGCTTCACTATTCCTGTATGAACGGAAAACTAGAAATGTGTAAGTACTTGGTCAATACTTATCCTGATTTACTAGATGTCAAAGACAATAATGGAGGGAACGCCTTACATCAGGCAGCGTGGGGAGGTTATATTGATTTACTCAAATTTCTGTTGGAGAAAGGATTTGATGTCAAAACCAAAAGAATTGATGGGAAAACTGTGCTTCACCAGTGCTGTATGAACGGAAAACTAGAGATGTGTAAGTACTTGGTCAATACTTATCCTCATTTAGTTGATGTCAAAGACAATAATGGAGGAAATACCTTACATGCTGCAGCCTTGGGAGGTAACATTGATTTACTCAATTTTCTGCTGGAGAATGGTTTTGATGTCAAAACCAAAAGAAATGATGGGAAAACTGTGCTTCACCAGTGTTGTATTAACGGAAAACTAGAGATGTGTAAGTACTTGGTCAATGCTTATCCTCATTTAGTTGATGTCAAAGACAATAATGGAGAGAATGCCTTACATAATGCGGCCTTTGGAGGTAACATTGATTTACTCAATTTTCTGTTGGAGAAAGGTTTTGATGTCGAAACCAAAAGAAATGATGGGAAAACTGTGCTTCACTATTCCTGTATGGACGGAAAACTAGAAATGTGTAAGTACTTGGTCAATACTTATCCTCATATACTAGATCTCAAAGACAACATTGGAGGAAATGCCTTACATGATGCAGCGTGGGGAGGTAACATTGATTTACTCAATTTTCTGTTGGAGAAAGGTTTTGATGTCAAAACCAAAAGAAATGATGGGAAAACTGTGCTTCACTATTCCTGTATGAACGGAAAACTAGAGATGTGTAAGTACTTGGTCAATACTTATCCTCAATTACTATATGTAAAAGACAATAATGGAAGAAATGCCTTACATGCTGCAGCTTGGGGAGGTAACATTGATTTACTCAATTTTCTGTTGGAGAAAGGCTTTGATATCGAAACCAAAAGAAATGATGGGAAAACTGTGCTTCACCAGTGCAGTATGAACGGAGAACTAAATATGTGTAAGTACTTGGTCAATACTTATCCTCATTTACTAAATGCCACAGACAAAAATGGAGAAAATGCCTTACATCATGCAGCGTGGGGAGGTAACATTGATTTACTCAATTTTCTGTTGGAGAAAGGTTTTGATATCGAAACCAAAAGAAATGATGGGAAAAGTGTGCTTCACCAGTGCTGTATGAACGGAAAACTAGAGATGTGTAAGTACTTGCTCAATACTTATCCTCATTTAGTTGATGTCAAAGACAATGATGGAGAGAATGCCTTACATGATGCAGCGTGGGGAGGTAACATTGATTTACTCAATTTTCTGTTGGAGAAAGGTTTTGATATCGAAACCAAAAGAAATGATGGGAAAAGTGTGCTTCACCAGTGCTGTATTAACGGAAAACTAGAGATGTGTAAGTACTTGGTCAATGCTTATCCTCATTTAGTTGATGTCAAGGTAACATTGATTTACTAAATTTTCTGTTGGAGAAAGGTTTTGATGTCAAGTCGAAAACAAATGATGGAGAAACTGTGCTTCACCGATGCTGTATGAACGGAAAACTAAATATGTGTAAGTACTTGGTCAATACTTATCATCATTTACATTATTTATCTCAAGGTTTTGATGACAATGATGGAGAGAATGCCTTACATGCTGCAGCGTGGGGAGGTAACATTGATTTACTCAATTTTCTGTTGGAGAAAGGTTTTGATGTCAAAACCAAAAGAAATGATGGGAAAACTGTGCTTCACCAATGCTGTATGAACGGAGAACTAGAGATGTGTAAGTACTTGGTCAATACTTATCCTCATTTACTAAATGCCACAGACAAAAATGGAGAAAATGCTTTACATGATGCAGCGTGGGGAGGTAACATTGATTTACTCAATTTTCTGTTGGAGAAAGGCTTCGATATCAAAACCAAAAATAATGATGGGAAAACTGTGCTTCACCGTAGCTGTATAAACGGAAAACTAGAGATGTGTAAATATTTTGTCAATACTTATCCTCGTTTACTCCATGTGAAAGACAATAATGGAGGAAATGCCTTACATGATGCAGCGTGGGGATGGAACATTGAAGTTTTGACCTTTCTGGCGGAGAAAAGCTTGAAAAATACAAGAAGGAGATGTAATAGTGGAAGTGTTTGCAACTCGTGTTGTATAAGTTAAAACTATAGAAAACATGTAATGCTTAAAGATCTTATTTTCCATTTTTTCTTGATTTTGCAAACATTAGTTTTTAAAATTCAGCATTTATATTTTTTCAAGTTTCCTAGTTAAGGGAATATTCTATGCATAATTTGTTTCAAGTCCAACGAGGAAGAAGGAAAGGAATTCCTCATTCCCCAATAAAATAATAAAAATATGATTGATATCCAAAATGTTAATACCTATTCTCCTCTTTTGTTCGGCAATTTTTAAAATTCAATAACAACACTTTTTAATAAAACCTTGTGCTGTAATTAAAATCTCTGATAAAAAGGGATTTTGTTAGGTGAAAGTTCTTTTTGTCCACAGACTACACTTTATTCACAGTTTTGACGTATGTACATGTAGTAATAGTGAAAACTTTTTTTTCTTTTTTTTTCCAAATGCTATTTCATCTAATACATTATGCATGTACCTTTTTAAAGCAATAATGTTTTTTAAACATTAATTAGATATTGCTATGTGTGAATTGAAATTCAAAATTAGATACAAATTAGTACAAATCAAAATTCTTTTTCTGAAATTTTTTCATATTCACAGAATCTTTCAGAATTTACTTAATGATGTTTCCCCTAAGCTTTCTTAGTGCACATGTAAGAAAAGGAATTTATAAGTAAAAGCCTAATAGTATATGATAATAGATAAGAGTGTGCCATATGTACCGATTACATCACATGTATTAGCTGTTTGACACGTGACACGTATAAAATAGAATTATTATGTAAAATTTCGAAAAAAGATGCTAGTGCAGGGGCAAACTCTTATTTTTTGAGGAAAAAATGAAACACATCAAGAACAAGTTTACATCCTTTACCAGAAAAACTGCTGGGGGTAGTTTGTGCTATTTGGAAAGTACTTGTAATTTTGCCAAAAGTGCGTACAGTATATGTAGCTTTGAGAAATTGTTTTAAAAAAAGTAATGTACTGCAGACCTGAATGAGCTCCCAGTACTTTCAAAAGATAAACTATATAACAATTGATATTCCATAGTTCACAACAAAAAGACTAGTCTTGGTCGTTGCACTTTTGTTGTAAATTTGGAACACATCGTTCAAGCGAAGCGATATTTTTTTACATTCCTTGTCATAGTAGTCTTCATAGAGACTAGATAAATTCAAAATTTTTATAATTGATAACTTATTTCTATTAGTTTGAATGTTTTAAATTTAAACATTGGCAATGAATTATATCTATTTTGGCATTTTTGCAATTATAAAACCAGTAAATCTACACCTCTTGATCACTTATATTTCATCGTGTTCAAGGCTGGTGATATCATTTAATACATTAGAATTTTGCCTTTGCTCGGCAATATTGTTATCAAGTCTTGTTATTTTTCAAAATTGTATAAGTAATTGGTAAAATACATGAATTCGGTGTAATTAAGACATCATTTATATGTGATTTATTTGATTTCTCTCATTCGTTAGTTTTCTTGACGTCCCAATGAAAATTTCCATGTTTGTGAACTCAGGCCCCCCTTATTTAGGTTAATGTAGGTGAGCTCGTAGTATTGTAATTAAGTGTATACATGTTTCTTACTGACAAGTTCTTGTAATAAACGAAAATTATTTTTTTATTGTACAGCCATTTAAGAGAGCTTTGCAGCAACTGTATATATCCAGAAGAGTATAACTTAATTTTGTATTGAGTTGCTTTCAATGCACATATATGAATGGAATATAATTTTTTTCAGAATAAAACTTTTATAATATTCTGGAAAGTGGAAATACTATGTAATATTTGATATAATTATGTATGACACAATTATAATATGTTATATATGTATTTTGCACAGTGAACGAAATCATGAATATATTATATTTTATATAAATTAAAAATATTCATAAAAATTATAAGGGTACATTAACTGATTTAATAGGCCCCTGGAACTGGAGGTGACTATAGGTTTCCCAGGAGTCTGTCCATTTGTAAATCACTGATGGTCCCGTATGACAGCTAAAGATGAGATTGAAGTTTCTTAAATGCAACTGCAAGGTCAAGAGACAAAAAATCTTGTTATTCCAAAGAAAAGGATTTGTGTCAATATGAAAGCCCAAGTACTATCCTTTAAACATACGTAATCAGAGATTACAGAGCTTACCTTAACAAACGTCGTCTTTACGTAAAGCAAAGTCACACAATTCACCAACAAAAAGTGTACATGTACATCCAAAGTTCAAAATTTATGCAATTTTGACTTGATATCTTGGAATAGACCTATATACATGTAAAAACTTCAAACTAGTTTTTCATCATGAAAACGTAATTAAAATCCAGCATCTGAAGCAAGTTTGAGAGTTTTTATTGTATGTATCATTTGTTTTTATAAGCCTTATAGTTTCTTTGTAATAGACCTTCACCCAAAATTTTTACCAGGTCCAATATCTTGAAATTGTACATGTATGTCGAATTCAGCATCTGAAGCAAGTCCATTAGTGTGCATCAGAAGATGGATTATCCATGCAAGTTTGTTCAACATAGATCTGAAAGTTACTTGGAAATGAAACCAGTATAGAAAACTAACATTTTCACTAATCCAGAAAATATAGGTCAAATTCAGCATCCGAAGCCAGCCTGGTAGAATGCACCCTTAGATTTATAATCCATGCAAGTTTGGTTATTAAAGAGCTCAAAGTTACTTGGAAATTAATCCTGCACCAAAAACTTTAAACTGTTCACTCATCCAGAAAATGTAGGTCAGATTCAGCATCCGAAGCATGTCTAGTAGTTTATACCTAAGATGTCCATCAATGCAAGTTTGGTCATTATAGGGCTCAGAGTATCTTTGAAATGAAACCTGCACCAAAAACATTAACCTGTTCACTCACGCGGAAAATGTACGTACACTGTAGGTCAGATTCAGCATCTGAGCCAAGTCTGGTAATATGCATCCTTAGATGTATCATCCTTGCAAGTTTGGTCACTATAGTGCTAATAGTTAATTGGAAATGAGACCTGCACTGAAAACATTAACCTGTTCACTCATGCGGAAAATGTAGGTCAGATTCAGCATCCGAAGCAAACCTGGTGAAAACAGAGAGCCATTTTCCCACTGATTTATAAAGTAACCCATGGCTAGAGCAAACACATTTATAAGGAATCTGCACATAAAGCAAAGTGATTTTCATTCTCTTTATTTACAAAATAAAAAATATACAAAAGAACGAGGGCGCTTTTAATTGGCATTCGGCAGAAATCTGGGCGTAATTGAAAAGTGAAAATTTTATCGACATATCACATGAAATTTTAACATATTTTTTTATTTATTGAGTTCCTGTGCAACAGGAAAGGAAAATATTTTCCCGAAATTGAGCTTTGAATTGCTAAAAAATAACTTGAAAATTGGTCAGATCAGACATTTGGAACAAAGTAGTACATTTTTAAGGATATCCAATCCTCAGCAAGGAAGGATAACTCCAAAAATTAACATTTAATTCGAAATGCATCAAAATGAAGCTTAAAAATGAAATTTTTTCATGCAACAATTTTCATTTTATTCAACTTTATAAGATTCAAGGTCTATGGAATTTTTAGAAAAGGTCCTATAAAAGTTGACATTTGTACCCTATAAAAGGAGAAAAAAAATAATAAAGTTTTAGAGAAATAAGATTTTCTTGAATCCAGCCCTAGATACCAATGCTTATTAGCATGATATGAAATGAGAAGTGATTTGTGGTGTCTTGCAATGATAGCAAAAGCCTTTTACACTATGTATTATAGAATACATGACGGAAATAGAAGACCAAAAATTCCAAATAAGTATAAAAATCATGACAGTTTCTCTGTATACCTTGATATGTATCGTTTTTTTTAACTAAAATATATTTGTTGATCAGTTTGCAATTAGAGAATGCATTGCTGATATTCCAATTCACTTTAAGTTTTTCTGCAAAAATATTGGAGATTTGACAATTTTCCCTATATATAATATTATGAACTTTGATCTTTAACTTTAAAGATATACTCTGAATAAATTAACATAACTGTGTGGATTCAGAGATACTTTTATGTGTATTTTTGATCACTTAACTGCTAATTTTATAAACCTAAGGATCGGACTACCTTAAACACGTTTTTCTAAAATTTTTCTATCTCCGGGGCTTCCTTCCATGTTTTTACAAAAAATATTTGTGTGTATTTGTATATGTGTGTATTCAAAGAAACAAATACACTCTTTTAAAAAATGGAGAGAAGACCCAGAGACCAAGAAAATGAACTTTTCCCCAAAAAATCCAAATGTGTGAATGTGATGCCTCTTTGTCCTTTTAAAATCATCTGTTGCAGTATATTTGTAGCAGTGATAGCTCAGCAAGTTGGGCTACCTGTTCAGTGCACTCAAAGCGAAGAGTTTTTGGTTTGAGCCTATAGCATGGAGGGTTATTTTTTTCCAACAACTATTTATTTTGTCAGTTTCGTTTTATGTACTGATATATCAAAATTCTGAATTACATAAATTGGTTCTCGAGTGAAATCAATTCTGATCCTCTATTCTATAGTGTACATGTACACGTGTCATGCATCTATGCATTAAATTTTTTTAGGTGTTAATTTTTTGTGAAACATTACTATGTTATAGTACCCCCTAGAAAAAAGGACATAAATGTTACAGTCTCACAAGGTCTTTCAAACTAAATAATTAAAAAAAACCTATGGACGTGTTTGTAAAATCTGACCAGCTATGTTCAATCACCCAAATCATGGACATTTAAACCAAAAATGTTTCATACAAATGATTCCTGCAGATCAAACGCCAAAGGCTCCCATCTTCTTTTACAAATTAAAGGAGTTTAGGTCAAATTCCCTAGCATTTTATACATTTAGCATGTTTCAATGTAATTTATTACCAAAATGAATCATTTTCTATCTGCATACAATATAAAATTGCAGGGACAATGAAAAAAAATTGACTCTGAAAGTAAATATATTCTATATAGAGAGGTAAGGACATATGAAAAAAA